AAAAATAAATATACGAATACAAAAGGCTCTTATAATTTGCTACAACGCAATAAATGTGTTTATGTTCATCGCAATGAGTTCGTAGTAAATACATCTATAATCATATACTTGCAATTGTTATTTAAATAGGTAAACTAATATTTACACAAATGTTTTATATATATGAAACACAATTTAAAGATTAATTTATTATTATTTTTTTAATTTCCTGTAAGCATGTTTGGTTTAATAACAAAAAAGTGTTTAAATAAATGCATCAGAGAAGCTCCGTAGGCGAAGGACGATCTTTTCCTACTAGTAGTGGCGTCACAAATCAGCGCAAAGCAAAGGTTCACGGACACGGGGGATATAGCTCAGTGGTATAGCATTCGACTGCAGATCGAGAGTTCCCGGTTCAAACCCGGGTGTTCTGTTCTTCAGAGAAGTGAAGAGGAATGTTTTTTTTTTGTTGAGGATTTTGAAGGCGGCAATGATGTGTCCCTTTCTGTATATTTCTGGACAAAGAGCATTTTCGTATCCGTTCCTAAGGAACGCAAAGCAAAGGTTCGCTGATGCGGGGTATAGCTCTGTGGTAGAGCATTCGACTGCAGATCGGAAGGTCCTCGCGGTTCAAACCCGGATGTCCACTTCTTCAGGGAAGTGAAGAGAAATAATTTTTTGAAGATTTCGAAAGCGGGGATGATTTGTCCCGTTCTGTATATTTCTAGACAAAGAATTTTCGTATCCGTTCCTACGGAACGCAAAGCAAAGGTTCACTGACGCGGGTGTATAATTCAGTGATAAGGCATTCCACTGCAGATAGAGAGGTCTCCGGTTCAAACCCGGGTGTCCCCTTCTTTACGGAAGTGAAGAGAAATATTTTTTTGAGAATTTTGAAGGCCCGGAATGATCTGTGTCTCGTTCTGTTTATTTCTAGACAAAGCGTTTTCTCATCCGTGACGGTGGGCGCACGCATCTTAAATATTAGCCTCATCTTATTTCTCTAACACTCCAAAGAAGTACAATATTACTTCAAAAACTAAAATTTTTTAACGTCTAAGACAAGATCCGGCCACCCATCTGCAGTGTCATCTCGAAAATCTTGCTTTGTAATACGCTCTATAAAAATAAGTCCAATACTCTTTCACAAATAGCTAAAAGTGTTGCTGAGATATTGCAAACAAAGAGACTTTAATTACAATTTGAAGAAAACTGGAAAAAGTGGCTATCATGGCCGAGTTGCACTCAAGAAACCATTCATATATCGAGTGAACAGAGCTAAGAGACCTTTGGCAAAAAACCTCAAAATAGGATACATAATTATTGAAAAATGTAATACATTCAATTGAAAGTAATTTTTCTAATTCGGCCTCAAAAAGAAGAAAAATATGCCTGCAAAAATTCCTGAACAGATCTTAAGAAAGAGAATTCTTTTTTGATTATCAAACATGGAGGAGAAGGCATAACTTTTGGGGGTGCATTGGAAACCTTTCGTTTAGTAATCTGGAATTTGTGGAATAAACAATGTAATGAATTGGTTGCTTGAACTTTTTGAAGTAAAATATCAGGGCATATGCCGGGAAACTTGTGGTAAGTGATGATTTTTATTTTCAGCAGCACAAAGGTACCATGCAAATGGCTCACATTGTGAAATCATTGTGAAGCCATGGCTGTTCTGGCATGCCCCAAACCAATTCCGTAAGCGAATCTAGTCCCCAGACCTAAACGCAATATAGCATTTGTGGGATTTACTCGAGTGAATAATCAAGGAGAACGTAATAACATCCAAGGAAATGCTCAAATCTGTCATAGTAGAAGAATGGAACAAAATATCCCCAGATGAAACACACACACACACACACACAAAACTAAGCTAGTTAAATCCCTGCTAAATATATCGCCAGAGTTATAGAAAGAACGGATTGTCTTAAAAAGTATTAACTTTTAGTTACAATTCCTTATTGTAAAGGTTTTTTCCCAGTGTACACAGACTTTTGATGCAAGAGATTTGTGTCGTTCTCAAGTTATAAATATTTGTATAATTTTATGTAATATTCAGATTAATGTTGCTTATACTATTTGGATGACGTATTTCATACTTTAAAGATCAAGTAATCGTTATTCGATAGATATCCCTGTGAGCTTTCTGCACATATAATTCCACACACACACACATCCTATTTCCTTTCTCCCAGTTCACGTTTTTAAAGTATTTTAAATTTTTTAACTTCGTCTTCTATCCGAGGATTTTTGAGTTTCTGCTTTGAAACTCAAACCATAGACTGTGTTTCATAGTGCCGTATTTCATACTTAAACGATCAAGTAATCGTTATTCTATCGAATACCTAGTTAAAGCTTAGAATTCAATAATATACTTAAACTGACATGTCTAGTGTTTTCATGAAATACCTAGTTATTTTGTGAAATATATAAAGGATTTCACACTTTAACGGTAACACATGTACATATATAGGGTCAATAAGGTCTCCGTTAATGTAAAATTTTTTTTAATAAAGTCTTTCAAAATTTTTTTTAATTAGTTAAACTTTTAATCTCTACTTTACCGAAGATAAATGGTTCTTCTACCGTTTTGAACAATTAGTTACACTTATTAGGAGAAGAACGGTTACAATCTTACATATTTTTCCATGTGTATCTGAGTTTTGATCATCATTTTTCAAAACACTAGTCTGATTCTGTTTCCCAGGTTAAAAGGTTTAAACTCTGTTCCCACATTTATTTCCTATTCATAGCAACAAAAAAAAACATTTTATCCTGTGAAATGCATTTCTTTATTGAATAACGAGAGTATATGTTTTACTGAAATCTATATGCATTAGAAAAAACGTACACATGAAACTTGGTTCGCAAATCCATTATTTAAATTTATACTCCTGGCAACCTGAAATTTTTGCAACAGAGATTATCTTCATAGGTTCTAAAATATATAATCCCATTTCAGAAATATTCAAAAAGGAATACACTGAACGTACATAAAGATTGTATTAAGAAACACAAACAAGCATCTTTAAAAACGTGGAGGGCATTCATGATGAAGTTTTGCAAGATTTTATGTGACTTTATAGTGATTATAAACATAGTTTTTTCCACAATTAGTTTCTTTTCTCGAGGTAAACTCGAAGTTATTTTCCGAATTCAAAGCAAATTTTGCCTTTCTTCTTCCTGGAAAGAGTAATCCGCTTTAGCAAGCGCAGCAGAGTCATTTTGAATGTCTGTTACCGTAATTGCTCGCACTTAAAGTTAATAGCATCCTGTGATTCCACTATCTTTCAGAAGTAGTTCAATAACCCTATTTCATTATCCGGACAGCTGTAATAATTTTTGGTAAAGTGTAGAGTATTGCAACTAATAGAATTGTTGATGTTTGTTAATCGACAGGATAATGTCAATGGAGGTATTACCTTGGATAAGTAATTCAGTAATACAAATACATGGAAAATTGCACACTCTTCGCTTAACACAAATTTAGTAATTGTGAAATAGTATTGGTAAAATACGAATTATTCAATTGCGTAAAATTTTCCTCAATATATACGAGTACATTTTGTTGTACTAAAAAAAAATTTAAATTATATTTATTGAATAAATGCAAAACAATTACTTTTTGACTAAATTACTGTAACTTTGACGAGCATTATCACCAAAAATTCGTTATGCTAAATAATTGTTAGATATTTCTTGGTATTTTCTTAAGTAAACATTCAACAATGAAAAATTATCAAACCATTGTTTGATAATTAAAGGAAAAATAAGTACATCAAATTACATTCTATGACTTATATTTTCTATTAGCAACTAATAATATTTAATTTAACATGTTTTTCTAGAGCATTGGGAAATCTCTATCTCGATATATATGTAGGTGAAAACTGAATCCCTTCCTTATACAATTACTCACGCATAAAATCACTCACTTTTTCATTCACTATCACGAGCTCTCTCAAAATTTAGACCTACAGCATTTTGTGAGCATATTTATATTGTCGAGTAGAGATCAATTCCCTAAAGGGCTTGCGACCAATTAGGAGGTGCTATATAAATAAACATTCCCTATTTTTGAACAATTAGACATAAATACTTGGAAGTTTGTAAGGATGCTTCTGTTGTTGAGCAGATATCTTTTAAAAACACGTTTCATAGAAATCTGTTGCGGTGGTGTAATAAATAAAAAATTCCTTGTTGTTGTGCTACTAGACATTTAACCTTGAAATTTTGATGCATGAATCCTTTTTTTTTCTTTGTTAAAAATCCGTCAAGAACGGGTTTTGGTGCAATTGATTTTAAAGAAGAGAAGGGCTACTGGGAAGCAAAATATATGCGTATCGTAAAATCCATCGTAGAATACGCATCTGTACTTCCAAGCTGCAATATTTTTAATTTCAAGGTTTACTTGCCGTACAACGCGCGTTCCCTTTTTTACGAAGAAACTTGGACTGTACGTGCGCATTTCTCGTATGTTTTGAAGTCATTTATTCGAGAGATTATTCCAAATTTCATTAAAAAAGTATACTTCTAGAACTATAACCCTTTGAATTCAAAAATATGGTCATTTCTTTTAAAACTACGGAATCTACGGAAATTTCTGCGATTATATGGGTTTCTAATTTTTTTTAAGTATTCAATATTTCAATTTATATACCTAGATCGTAATGCTGAACCCTAAATCTCGCACGATGCAAAAATTGAGCTTGTGTTTTACGCCAGATTTTACGGTACTTCCGTTTTAGAACTTTCTGTCCTTCCAAAACCAAAAAGCGAGGATTATAATTTTTTTTTAATGCAATCGAGCTCTCCTAATGCTTGACTTTAGGTATCTCAAATAATTAAAAATTATATAGAGTTGAACAGCTGTAAAATATACCCAGTGAAGCGAGGGCGCTATCAGACACATATAAAATATCTAAACTGACAATCAATATCTTTTTGAAACATATAGTTGCACATTTAAAAGCAATATACTTTTCCATATCATATATTGCAGACTAGAAAATCATCCAATCCACTCGTAGTTATAAAAGGCTTGTTTCAGTTTGATAAAAAAAATAATACAAAAAAAATTGAAACACAATATTTATATATGAAAGGTCTTTACCTTTCATTTTAAAAGACCTTAAGGTGCTGTTTCTTCATCCCTACGTATACCAAAACGGCAATTATTGATGAAAACATTATTGTGCTGCTGTAAAATATCTTGCTAATTCGAGAGGGGATTTTGGCTTTTTGACGATGTAGATCACCATTCGTTATCGTGTTCAAAATAGGAAAAACATTGAAAACATTTATGCAAAACTTCTAAAAAAATAAATCTGAAGATCAGTTTTTTTTTTAATTCTTTAAGCAAAAAACAGTGAAAATTAACTAATTTACAAATATTGTTCGATACGAGAAAATAATGTTAAATTTGCGTATATTATCAGAACTGTGTTGATAGAAACCACAAAATCCTCAAAGTACGTCAAATTTTTTCAGTGTTACTTTAGAATTACAGCTTTACATCATGGCAATTATGCGTATTATTTTTAATTTCGGCAGCTTCAGTATTTGGTATTTTGCACGAACTTGGTTTAAATCATTTTTGAAGACATATATAAAAGATTATTTTTTCTGTTTCTGGTGCATGTGAAAAAA